TCAAGGGAAGCTGAATAGCAAAACATTCGCTACTACCGGATTTTTATTAAACTGCGACATTGGATATTCAGACTTTCTGTCTCCAAAGTCCAAAGTGCTGATATACATTGGAGGTCAGTGACATTGAACTTCCTTAACTGAATTGTCCCTTTAGTACCATTTCAATTTAACAAATTTGATTAGGTGATTAAGAGTTATTAATGGCGCGATTTGATAGAAATTGTCTAGTGCGAAGAACGGAAATGGTTTTTGTAATTGAATTAATTGCTTATTAACATTCTTCATCGTAAAACTGCTCTTAGCAATGGCCTAAAGTGCCTATTTCCTGCTAATTGGCAGGCGATTTTTCTTATTACCGCAAAGCGTGGCTCATTAAGCCGCAGTTTTTTTGGCAGCTCATATAAATAGGTCGTTTAAGGAGAAAATTTGGATACGGTATGCAACAAGGCACAAAATCGATCTGTTTGGGTGCCGACTACCTTTTGACATACTGCCAGCATGGCATACTAAAATTATATTGACTCACGAAATCGAATTACCATTGTCGTGCGCAAATGCAGCAATTGCCAGTGCCATTATGAACAATTTTACCCACACAAGGTAAATCATATGCAAATTTCGTGTATTGTTTATGGTTGCTAATGTAATGGTGTTCCTAATGGTTAGCGCAGGTAGGGAATGTATTTTAGGTTAACAAATAAAGTAAATGATTGCCAAACACGATTTTTTACCTTAATGTTCTACTGAATAACGATTTGTGTGTTTTATTAGATAGGTAGTCGATACTTTTTGTGTATATAATATATAGCTGTCGTCAGCTATATCTGTAACCTATATTTTATTCTACAGTAGGTACAACAACATTAACGTTTCCAACAAGATCTAATGGATTGAAACCTATATTATACTCGGACATTTTGTTTTCAATGATTTTATGCACTATGGCCTTTTTGCAAGGAAGAACATTCGTAACATGACATTAAAATGTAGTTTAAAACGAGACGTAGGTAAGTACAGAGCGATCATGCAATGCGGAGCTTGTCGCGCTCTTATGAAACGCATGCTGTTTTCTGATTCTGCATCACATAGGTATAATGTCTATACGCAATACTGCAAAGCTGCAGCTTGCATTCGGAGAACACTGCATTTATATTAGTTACTCTTTGCCTTACGATTTTATATGCTGGAACAACTGAATGGGGTTGTACTCATTATGAATTGAAATTCATAATCCCTAACCCACATAGCAGACCTATATACATTGCACATAACATGCACATTCCACGTGGGATTTTGTATACCTATCCATAGAATGTGGAAAAGTATGTCGCAAATGTCCGATGTACCTACATATGTGCATGGGATATAAGTTTGACAGACTTCACATAATACATAGTATATAGGTACGTTTTGGATGTCTTGCGTACATTCATGTATAT